TGTTTGTTTGTAACACTTTATTGCACAATAAATACATTTAAATTAACTAAAGATACACGATCTTAAAAAATATATATATAAGATGTACAAAAGTAATACATTTGTTGTACTTAATTTACGGCAAATTATTCTTTGAACTTAATAAATATATAAGATATCTGTAAAACTAAATTTATAAAACATTTTGTATTTGATGTCTTTTTGTTTACTTTTAACTGAAACTGATTTCCACTAACTTATAGTAGTCAGTAGGAAGAAAAACGATCAAATCTAATATCTTTATATCTCCTTAGATAATAATGCTGAAGACATAAAATTAAATACCAATGACAATATCAAACATTAGCAATTTTCCTTGAGGAAAGCAATTTTCCTTGAGGAAAGTTGCTCAATTTACTATTACATTTTTTATAAAATGATGTAAAAAGCGAGTGTGCTGAAGATAAATCAAAAGTAGCAGAAAAGTCAGGAAATGGAAATAGTGGAATGTCGAGAAAATATCCGAATTAGAAAATAAAAAATATGTAAGGTCTTCATGATATAATATTATAACTGGAAATGTGAAATCTAACCTTGTACTCCAAAAAACCTACGATTTCTGAATATGATCAATGAAAATCATTCATAAATATACGAACTAGATATAAAAATATTTTTAATTATAGTTACACAATTATACGATGTTAAAACATATTTTGTGTGTGCAATAAATAAAAGTACAATAAAAAAGGTACGTTACGTAAGAAAAACTGGTCAAATACAAGTTCCCCGAGAGCACAGAGTTCTAGAATGGAAAAAACCAGAATACACTTACATGCAGCGACGTCATTTGTTACTACAAAAGAAACCATGTATCAACTTTAAGCAACCAATATATAAAAGCTCAGTTTTTGTAATCATACACAAATTTAAATACTTTTTAATATTTATGACAATAAGGTAAAAATAATAAATGTCTCCAAAATTCGAAAAAAAACACCTATACCACCGGATATACAAAGTATACATACGATACGTATATATGAATTATTTTGCATACAGGTATACCGAGATTATTTTGCTGCTGAAATAGGTGAGATAGAGATATGCCTATTTCACCTACTTCAGTAGCCAACAAGCTTTAATTATAAGATGTGTTTTATCATGGTTGAAGAGTGAGGATGAGGCAGTGTTGGAGGCATGACATCTTTTGAAATGGCAACAAATGACGTCACGGTACGGTCACGGAACCACGACGTCACATGTTAAAGTAATATCCGTGGAACTGTTCATACATGTAGACGATGTTTAACAGTTACCATCAAGTGGGCGGCCATCTTTGCCATTTCAATTACATAAAAAAATCATACTAGCTAAACCTAGGGAAAAACGAAAAACTTCGTTACGTATACTGTCAGTTCGTCTATTTGTATGACAAATCATTAATCAATATGTCAACTCACTTTCGATCTTTGAAAAATTTCGCAGAAGATTGTAGAACGATGCCGTCCATGGTTTACAAGTATTAAGACGATAACCAAAAACATCAAATTTATGAATTAAATCAAAATCAGTTTTTCCTTATCCCATTTATTTTGAATTAAACAAAAAGCAAAAATAAGTAAACCATCAGATCCGTTAAATATGATGGTTTCAATGAAAATATCGTCTCAAATGCAATAAATACTTTCAATGACGGAGACCATTCTAAAAACTACTCCACAATTGAAAAATTATTACCTACATGTACAAAAAATGATTATATGAATCTTAGATAAATTTTAGACTTAGCTAATCAGTAAGTAAGTAGTATTTACCCAATATAAGTGATAAAAACATGACTAATGACAAAATATTGACACCAATAATGTGATGTTATCATTTTTAATATCAAATCGACATATATATCCAATTAACATGTTTTGTAATTGATCAAAGTAGACTAAAACTCATTCAATCCTAATTTTAATTTGAAAATTAATACCATTCATTGTTACGATCGCTTTTATTCGCTTGTGAATAATGATCTAATATGCAAAGAAAGGCAATGGCGTAAAAAGTCGAAATATGATTATCATATTAAAATTTTTTATGCAATTTTCCTTGAGGAAAGTTGCTCAATTTACTATTACACATTATCGCTGGAATTCGCATTTATCAGTTAAATCATAAATAAGGTGTAACAGAATTGAAGACTTTAGTTTAAATAAATATTTTTAAGCTCAGTACACAAAAATATTTTTAGAAGGACAGAACATTCGTAGATAATAGACAATATGATTATATTGTTTAACGAAACAGTTGTCGCAATTTTGTGTCAAAAGTGTGAACACACCGTTGCTCCCTGACCAATTTTAGAGTTGCAACTACCATCACTAACCATTACGACCATCTTAATGGTAATGTAATGAATCACGATAAAATAATGTAGATTTTAAAAATATATTAATAATATATTTTTGAAATCTACATTAATAACTGATAAAGATTCAATAACAATTTCTGAACAAATTGAATTGTCCGATACCGGAGCACCACCGTTACGAAAACTATTTCTACTTCAATTTCCGGAAACCTAAATCTTAGTAGATATATAATCTATATCATTTAAACAATCTATTCTACAGTTCTGCAGAAGTACTTTATAAGATTTACTTAATTAGTCAATAGTGCAGCATTACTTACATCAATCTAAATTCAAAATGACGAAATTCTATTCAGTCTAATTGCTCACTAAACAGTTTTTTATAAAACAAATTGCGTGATATAAATAGTTAATACAGGAAGTTTAATATATTGAATACAATATAAGTAATATTGAATGAATTAAAAATTTGTTTACAGACTGATTATAAAGAGCAACAGTAAATCTTGTTAAAAATGCCATAACCAAAGTAGACAATAGGGTGCTAATCCAAAATTAAGAACTGATTTGTCGAGATAGTCTAAGGTATTATATTATAAAGATCAGTTATAGTTTAAGTTTTACGAAAAGTAATGATAATATGTACATATCAAAATGAGTGGTCATCTACAAAAAAATTAAATACATGGACTTTGATGTAATTAATAAAAATCTAAATACCGCAAGAGAGTACTGGCAAATGTGCATACTAACGAAATAAATTTTTAATATCAAGAAAAAATTATTTACAAAGCAATTACAGAAAATATTAATTATAGATATAATTAATATTTTCTGAAATAGAGAAAAACTGATTATCTAATCTTCGTATGTCAATGAAAATCTTAAATAACTTCAATATAAAAAATACGTATATACATATATTTTAATTTTGTCAGACAATAATACGGTTTAGTAATGCGGATTAAATTATTTAAATAATAAATACATGTTTTTATACTCACTGGATGGAGGAAAGGCTATCCGCATTCACAATACGGACGCGTATCGAACGGCAAAAGGATGGTACCCTTTATGAAGGAACGCGCCTGTTTGAGACACCTATTGAATGTAAAATAAATAGCGAGCCGACTTTCGCGCTGGTTGTTGTTGCGTGATGAAGTGTAACCGCCAATACAGCGGCGGCGCCGGCGCTGCGACAGTGACTGACGGTTTGCGAACTGCCTTCAGCTGCTTTAGAGTTCTCGTCTGCGTCATACGGACGTCACTTGATGATTATTGTTAAAAATTCTAATTGATCGTAACACAAAAGATTTTAAAATCGTTTAAGTAATTAAATAATTTACATTTACGGGACACTCAAAATCCGGGTGATATATTAATATTAATTATGATGTGTGCACTTACAGTAAATACAAAACGTGTAACGGAGAATATCAAATCGAATTTTAGTGATATAATATTTATGAAACTGAAGAACATTCGCCAAGAAAATTATACGTCGAAATAAAAAATAATATTGTATACTTTTTCAATGTTATTTTTTATTCACTTTAAATGACAAACCGCGTAATTATGGATTTCGTATTACAAAAAATGAGGTTCAACATATTGGCGGTGGCTCATGTATAATCCTCATAAATAGTAAAGTGTTCTGGGGGTCTTAAAGAGACTTATCTTAATAAGATTAAAAATATAGAAACCTTCATATAATATTCTATATATTATTTCGAACACACGAATCTTACGACTTTATATTTTATAAGCCTCTCGCGTTGAAAGCGTACCTAACGAATTTTCATTGGAAATCATACATTTTTAGACTCCTCTGGTTACTGAGTTATTGTCACTTATTGAACTATTTCAATACTAGTACATTCTTATCTTATTTGAAAAATTCTTGCCCATTATTTTAGACCATATCTAATGATACAATGAAGTGTTCCTTTTTAAGGGGCACATGAACATGAACATGATTTTGTGACTAGAAAGTCACAAAATCATGTTCATTTAAATGGTGAAAAAATAAAATAAAACTGATTTGCAGTTAAGTTGCTTTGCTAAGAAATTATAATCAATTATTACGACATGACAATGATAAAGTACACATTAACAAACTTATAATAAAATAAAAAGGGTAAAATCAGTGTCATATTTTTAAGAATGTCATTAATATTAAAAATAAAATAGACATTATTTATAGATTTAGTATGTAGTAAAGGGATCTAATAAAATCTTTTTATCACTCATACTCCTACTAACAGAAATGTTATTCAATGTAGTATTCTGAAACATGCCCCTTATTTATTAAAATGTTAAATTCCTATCACACTTGAAAACACTGTATGCAACAACTATAAAATAGTTAATGCTACCAGTGATAATATGATTGTAAATTTAGTGTCAACAAAAAAAATTGTAAACATGTTAGAATTTTGCAACTCTGTAATGTAATTATGACTTTAAAGGCATAAAGTCAGGACTACATTAGATTACAGAGAGTAATTAAATTATTTATAGTATCCATCCATCATTTTCTAATCATCCTCACTCAATATTAGCGTTTATAAATAATATTAGTAGAATTATTATAGTTTCTTATACAGACTGTTAGTGTGTATCAAAACAATTGAAAACAATAACTAACTGCACTTACCAGGTCTGAAGCATAAAGTCTTAATTGTCTTGCTCATTCAGCAACTTGCTAATTGCGAATAAAACCTGAAATATTAAGAAACATTTTTAAACACCATTTTTCTATTATACAAGATCTATATATATGAAAAGTCCTTATTATATATTTATATTATTATAATATTGATATCTCAACTTATCAATACAACACATTAATACTATATATTTATTGCCATTATAAATTGTGAATTTTTAATTTTTAATATTTTGTGAATTGAAAATTCAAATAGCAGTTTATGAGAGTACTTAATTTCAGAAACTACTAAGGCTTAGCAAGATGCAGACTGATCTTAACTTTTATATTCTTTATCTGTATTATTTACTCATTACTACTTTCAGATGTTGCTATTTAAAATAGTACCATGTGTAAAACATGAAATGTATAATATTCAGATACAAAAAAAGATGAACTCATTGAATAAAACCCATCTGAGATTTTGATGTTATTTAATGGATAGATTTTCATATAGAAGACAATTAAAATAATATAATTGTAATAAAACAAAATTACTATATTTTAGTAACCATCTCAAGCAGCTGAGCTGGCTGCTACAGTCCACAAATACAATTTAAAGAAACTAAACCATTTATAAAGCAATATGTAAATGTAAAATTTAATAATACATAATTTGTGTAGTTGGAAATCTCATTAACTCTATTTTTGTTGTATGTCTTTTAAGCTTGATTTATGAATAGCAGAGGTAAGTACATAAGATAAATATTTAGTATAATAAGGTACTATTAGGAGCTTTCGTTTCCTTATTACTTACTTTTATTCTATCACTGTATTCATAAATATATATATTGGAAAAAAGTATTAAACACATAGAAGAATTTGAATAACATGTATATTTTTATGTTATTTTTTAAAACGTTCTATATATAAATATATCTGTATCAAGTAAAACTCATTAATTAAAGCCCTATTTATAATTTCATAGTTGTTCATATTCAATTATAAAAACATTTCAAATAATATTTGAAGAATTAGACTACTTAATTATTTTATTTAATCTATTAAAGTTTATAGTATTATTACCTATTTACATAAATAAAACTTTTAACAAGTTGGTTATATTGTGGGCGTGTGCAATTGAATATGCAAAACATTTAAATATCAGGTTAGTAGATCAGTGTGATAAATGTTTACATTTATTGATTAAAAGTTGTACTGGAAAAGGTATTTTATCCATGTACTTACACAAATTAAATGCTGCAATGAAGGACTTTCAAGCGAGATTAGTCTGTTCCCTTTTTACAAACGATGACTAATTTTTAAGGTTATGAACTAAAATAGAAGACACAAACTGTCTAGATTGCTCCATGAAGTTTAAAGTTAGATTTTTATCACAAAATTCTTGTAGAGTGGAAGAAAAGAAAAGTCCATTTATATAAATGCAACATAGCATGCAATTATTCAAAAAAAGAGAAAATACAAATACTATATAAAAGAAATGAATGAATGATTGAAGTCATTCGAATGACACCTTCAATTGAATGATGTGCAGTGTTGCCCCGTTGACTGCCTACGAGTCCCCGCCAGGCTTCAACCTCAGAAGATTTTATCTTATGGTGATAACGCCTCTAAAGCGTTGGTTGTGACCGTTGTATACTTAGTGAATGACATGACATTAGTACATATCATTACTAAAGAATAGTAATAATAATTAGTAAAGAATAATAAGTAGATTCTGTCAACATCTCAAATTGATATTTATTTATCCAATATTTTACGTTTAAAACCTTTAATATAACATGGCGCAGCCGGTAAATTAATAAAGATATAGATTCAGCGCGGTTATTTGGATTTATTACTGACGAAAAGAATAGTTATGGAAATGTATTACGGACACCTTCCGAATTAATATGGAATGTCAATATGGAAGATAGTTGGAAAATTTTCAAACAGAAATCTGGTATCTGGAAGAATCTGGTAAGATAAAAACAGCTATTCTTCTAAGTCTTATAGGTGATAGAGGTCTAAGATTATATAACACATTTGTATATGATGCATCAAAAATGAAAAAAAGATGATTTTGAACTAATATTATTAATAAACGTCTCAATCTGCTAGAGTACAAATATTCTGATTTCCTATATATTACTATTAAAGTTGAGAACAAAAAGCAATATTAATTATTAAATACGTATAATAAGCAGAATAAAAAGATTACAATCAACAAGATGCTAAGCAACGACATCGTGATCGATACACAGACAATTAGGTCGTCTATCTACAACTCATACTCCTAACATCCCGTCTACTTTTTATAGCTGCTGCTACTCATTCCAATGCGTGAGGACAGTTCTTCTAATCTAGGTCTGTAGAGTGGTTTTGTGAACATGTCTGTCATGGTAGTCTACCATGTGAAAAATTGAACCCGCGATTATCAGAAATGAGGCGGTCTCCTATAATATATAAACTGCTGACAATAACTTAAAAAATTAAGCTGTCATTATTATAATACAATGTTACAGTTAGAGAATGATGTTTGGACTTATTCCCTGTGGAAGAGTTCTCGGTCGGTTTTGTATCATATCACTTTTTTTGTACAAGACAGTAACCTCACAATACCTTTTTTTTCGCTCACAATTCCACCCAATTGAGAGGAAGGGGATTATTAATAATGGGGGCTATTATAAATAGTGGCCCTATTGCTAGTAATGCACCATGTCACATTGACCACTAGGCAGATTTCACTTTATGCTCATCTTATCATTTTCCACTGGTGTATTCCGACAGCGAAAACCTTTAGCGCAGGAGGATTTTACCATTATCATACATTTAAAAAAATACTTACACAATATTCCCAAATTTCCACTCATCGCCTACAAATCTCCCCTAATTATTGAGGAAACTACCAACCTGGTAACACTTGTGATGTGACATGCTAATGAAAAAGTTACGCTATGTATTGCCAGATACCTATCTAGTAATACTATTGGCGAAAACTATTAATTGGCATAGGACAATTTAGTTTTTAATTACACCGTTAGTAAATAAATAAATAAACTACATTAATTTTCACCCAAATATATCATAATTTGGCATCATTAATAATATGCAGTGAAGTATACGGAAATGTTTGTAAATTACAATCCATTCACATAATCGTGAATCGGAATGCGGAATGATCGGTAGCAATAACGACGTGGAAATATGTATATAGTGTTACTACTAATACAGGTAAGATAATATTACACAATAATAATATTTATTCCAAGAAAGGATGACATACTTAATTAGTTTTTTTATGGGTGATATTGGAATGGTGCACCCACCTGCGCTAACAGTTTACGCTTAGTAGTTATAATATTAATTAACAAAATATTTTAAAGTTCCTTTTAAGACGGTGTGCATATGCAGGTCCACTTCAATTAAACTAAACTATTTTAAGTGAAATTGTGCAAATAGTGCCCACTCTTAAAGAACGTAGTTTTATACTCTGTAGTATAAGAATTTTCGTACGATTGTCATGTCTGGATTGAATTTGACAGTTCGTGCATCCACAGAATTCTTTAAATGTCTAGATTCTAATTATGACTGGTCTGTGCTATAGTTCCGATTAAATTTAGTTGGTTTAGTTGCTTTACGACTTGTATAGCCACTTATAAATTATTAGTTTTCGTATGATACCACTTGGTTAACTAACCGGTAAAAACCATAAAATATTTACATTTTATTTGGTCTTATAAAACTTAACCCGATAATTGAATTTTTATTTTGTTTCAGATTTTATGTCTACGAGAAAACGGTGACAAATAAAATGATTGACCTCAAGGTTTTAAAGCAGTCTACTCTTGTACATTTATGTTTTGCAATATCATACTTTACATCGGGTATCATATTGAGTTTCATGCAAGCGATTCTATATTTTGGACTGAAACCATTTAATAAAACATTGTACAGGAAAATAAATTACTATCTTTCATATTCATTTTATTGTCGTGAGTATTTGTTTTTTCTTTGTTCACTTGCGTATCATAGGTATATTGATATATATCTAATTCATTCATGTATATATATAATTAATATCAATACACATATTGTCTTTCATGAACCGCAATATTAAAGGACATAAGGAGAATTTTAACTTTTTGAGCAACAATTTCCGCACATTTTATGACACAATATTCTCATTTATTTGCCGTATCAAGATGCAGAAGAAGCACATTTTAATGCACCTTATTAACTAATGCATAATAACTTTCCACATCAACATTTTTTACTTATTTTATCAACATATACTTTCCAGAACATAAGTATGTATATGATTAAATCTTTATCTAAATGTTGTTTCATACACAAAAGATAACTGTGTTGTTACTATGCTATTAAGTGCCCACTACACTATCCTACACAATTAAAATATGAATAGGCACAATAAATAAATAAATAACCTTGAACATCTCACACTTAAATGTACTTCTATAAACTTGTTTAACTGTAGCATTGTATGCTATGCAGCAATTAATTGTAAGGATTTTTTTACAGAATTAGTGTTTATGTCAGAATGGTGGTCAGGCACAACAATGTCTGTATATATAAAGAAGGATGAATATGACAAGTTTTATGGGAAGGAACATGGTTACCTTATTATGAATCATAGTTTTGAGATAGATTGGCTTATGGGTTGGCATTTTTGTGATGGCATCCAAGTTCTGGGGGTGAGTATTTAGAACTACTAACTAACTACTAATTAATAATATTATGAACTACCAATATGTTAAAATTACTTGGTAAAGAATTTTTATATATTTTAAAATTAAGATTTGAAACTACAAATTCTTAAAAAATATTCGAGTATGATACAGTTGGGATTACCACAAAGTTATGAGTAGGTTACTCATATAGTTTGCAGACATATCATAATTATAGTATAATTGGTATCATTTAACATTCTGCTTTTATTATTGTAGTATTATGTTTGGCTTCATTCCATTGTGGACCTCTTGTATGTACTGGAGTTGAAATGAGTGAAAACATTGTTTCTTAATTTGAAAATCACCCACAATATAGTAATATTATAAAAACGAAAAATACTCATCCAGTAGTTAACAATTTATATAATTTTACAGAGTCACAGCTGTAATATTAATTTCTGTGTAACAAAAGTAATAAGTCAAGTCAACATCATGAAAACCTATAAAGAAAATTTTAATATATAAATCTAAGTAGAATTTTCCTATTTATTTTAAACTTTAGAATGATTAAAGTCATGCAATAGTCAATCATAAAATTAACAAAAATTTAATATTGTGTTGTGAATATTAGTCATCATAAAAGTAATATACTCAGGTTAGTTGGTGTAAAAGAAATCATGCCATCCTATACCCCTATTTTATCATGTCAAGCGGACATTCATGTTATTCTCTCTTGTAACTGTTTTGGTTAATTCCTAATAATTTAATTAATTAGTAACTCACTCTATGCCATCTGACCCAAGGTAAGCCGAGCTTCTGTTATGGGTACTAGACAACTGATATAAATATTTTTTTGGAAATAGAACATTATATACACAGAAAAGACTGTTTACAAACAATAGTACTCATAAATACAAATGTTTGTACTATGTGAGGAATCAAACATGTGACCATCCTATGTAAGGCGGTGTACAAAACCGCTAGACCACCTAAGTTGTCTTAGTGAACTCTCATCATGCAACTTTGTAACACTAATCAGACAAGATTTCTGAAATAAATTTGTGGCAAATCAAACATTGTGGTTTTGCAAAGGAACCATCATATATTTTTTAACTTTGGAGAACCCTAAAGAACATACGATTTCATTATCATTTATTATTTGATTGTATGATAATGCAGCCTGTATAATTGTTTAGCGCACAAACATCTCAAAGCCCAATAAGACAATAAACTACTAAAGGGTGATAACATCTGACAAAATATAATTTAATACCCACAATAATTATGGCAAATTTATTTGATAAATTAAAAATTGATTCCAAAAGTAGACAGACCTACCATAAGAATAAGTTTAAGTTTTATTACATTTTCTTTTTTACAGTACACAGTTAAAAGTTAAACTATACGGAATATTCGAGATTTAAATACTTAAAACAAATAGCTAGTATTGAGGCGTTATATGTTGCTCCTCCAGTAATTCCTAGTTCTTAGGATCTATGGATTGTTTGAATATCTACAACGGAAATGTTTAAGATGTCAACATGTCATTAATAATTAAAATTCTTGACAACACAATTTCTAACATAAATATTAATTTGTTTTTTGTTACAGAATTGTAAAGCATACGCAAAAAAATCTATCCAATACTTGCCTCCTATTGGTTGGATGTGGAAGTTTTCGGAATTTGTGTTCCTTGAAAGGTCATTCGACAAAGACAAGGAAATTATAAAACATCAGATATCAGAAATTTGTGATTATCCAGATCCAGTATGGGTAAGTTCTTAACCATATTCTTTTTGAAATAGTTTTTATTATTAAAGACCACTTAATTGACAAAGATCATTTTAATTACTAATTAAACAGCATGATTTTAATGACATATTTATATCTGTCTTGTTTGCTCCACGATTCGTAAGTGCTATTATTATGATACAAGTCGACCCACGTCATGTCATAAGTCATTAGATCCGGGACGGATCACTGCTGGGTATATTAACATGAACTCCAACGGATTGCGCACCGTTAGGAAATTGTACTTAAGACGCGTTCACCCTAATGTTACTTTCTAATTTTAAATACCTATTTTGTATACTAAATACACAGCTAACACGGTAGAAGCTAACAATTAATAATTGCCTTCTATTTCAGTATCGGAAATAGAAAATTTTATTTTACAAATTAGGAATGTCCGTTAATTTTACATAGACAAGAACTATAATAATTTCCTAATGTAATAATTATAATGAAACTTCGTATCTTGGTAGCAATAAAATTAAATAATTCATTACCAAAAATTCTTCACTGCTAGTAAATAGTTCATTATTTGGATACTAAAGCAGTTCATTGATCCCTTATAGTTACTACCATAGCATACTTTGGCAGTTTTACTCAATTTATTAAGGCTATATTTATTGTATATTAAAATTCATGAAAATAGGGACAAAAAAAACTGTCAATATTACGTCTACTATTACGTCCTGTAAACGGGAATAGAGATAATTTGGTAGCAGAGGATGATATACGTAAGGTCCGGAAAAACGGTCTTAAAATATTTATGCTCATTTGATTAAAATATATTACATTAAATAAAAGTAATTAAATTTGTTATATCATTAATATTTATGTACATAAGTTTCTCTGCTCTTGGGCTAACTTCGAAAGTTACACGTATATTTTTTTTTTTCATTCATCTAACTCTTCAAGATTAGCATAAGTATAAGCTATGTTATAATAGTAAAAACTCTTTATTGTGCCCAAACAAACATTGAACCATAAATGTACCTACATTAAATGTCTTTTACAATAGGCCGTCTTAGCAATGAGCAATTTTTGTGTTCTTGAGAGGGAATCGATTTTGTGACTCGTTAAGAACATGCAAAGTACATTGCAGTGTGTTAAAAATAGATATTTAAGTCTAATTAATATGTAACTACGCGCGCGGTTGTTACGATGCGACGGGGTGGATCTGGAGACCATGGTGGGTGCATCTTATTGGGTGAATTCACGGAAATTAACTAGTTATATAGGTATTGTATATAAATAAATGTATATATGTACTATCAGCATATTATCTTTCTTGTAAAATAAATGATCATGCTACAATATATATAATATGTTGCAGCTATTATTGACTCCTGAAGGAACACGTTACACAAAGAAAAAACACGAAGCGTCATTGAATTTCGCAAGAGAAAAGAACTTACCTTTACTTAAACATCATTTGACACCGAGAACAAGAGGTTTCACGACGAGTTTACAGTTTTTCAGAGGAAAAATACCTGCCATTTATAATATACAACTCGCATTCAGTGAAAGTAAGGTAAAGTATTGTTGTTATTATTGATTTAAACAAGTAATCATGCTATTTCGTCAAACCTTGGTCTTTATATCTTGGTATCATATTTCATAAATAACTAGATATATTTTTTATCGGTACATGACTTTGTGTGTAGAATAATAAAAAGGACATTAAGAAGGCAAAATTTCAATTACAATATCAATACAAACATGTAATTATGATAATCAGATCTTGATAGGACATCGCGATGTTGGGATTTTATTTTTTTTATAATTATTCCATTTGTATAAGTAATTAACTGGCTATTCCATTTGTATAAGTAATTAACTGGCTCACTCGCAACTTCCTACTAATATAATTGTTTATTTGTAATAAACCACCTATTTTTAAGTGAAGCTGAAATAATACATATGGAAAACCTCCACAAATGGATTGAGTCGTATCTGAAATAAGCGCACAAACCCACAAACAGACAAAAACTCTAATAATCATTAATTTGGGTTCTATAACATTAATAAATTATCTAATACTAGTTTTCCTTACATATCTTCCATGTATAGGCACCGAATAGTTACATTTTTGTTATATGAATAGATTGCTATAGATATTGAAAATATTTATTACCTATGTTTATTTCCAACGTTGATGTTATTGCTTTATGACCGACTGTTTTAGTGAACTTTGATCTATGGTATGATCTGCGTGTTGATTAAGTGATCATAATGTGTACATTTTGTACACATCGCATACTCGATTAGATGAATCTATTAGATATTAGCTGAGTTCACGACTTCGTAGCCGTAGTATATAAACAAGCAATAGTTTATAACTTTTTCATTTGTAAATCAGTCGGAATTAAACAAACCCTATACTTTAAGTAAATTTGACGGCTTGGTGGTGTAGTAGTTTACCACAGCGCGTCACTTCCGACAGTCGCGGGTTCAATTCTACGCACAGTATAAACATTTGCATTGAGTATGATTGTTTGTGTTGGGCTAGGTGTTGTCTACGTATATTACGTATGTATTTACAAAAAAATATATCTAAGTAAATATTTTTGTCAATTGTCTGGTATCCATAACACAAGCTCTGCTTAGTGTGGGAATAGATGGCGCTGTGTGAATGGTTATTATTATTATTAACTTACCACAATACATTTACGACAACCGCTGTCAAATCGACCTTTTATCAGATTACCGCATGCAAACGCATAAACAAAGATTGTAACAGTTATTGTTTTGTATTCTATAACGTTTATTCAATAAAGTTTCCTCATATATCTTCCATGTACAGCGATAAGTTACATTTTTATTATATATATAGATATCAAGAGCACTAATTCATCTAACAATATAATACCTACCTATAAATAACTTCGTAGGTATTTGCTTACGTAAATGATTTTATCTCCTGTCAAACAAAGTTCTCGAGTGTATTACGTAACAATGTCACATGTAATACAGACTATTGGAAACACAAGTTTATCATAATGTCATAGTATTGAATTTGTAAACAACTAAAAAACAGATGGTTGTTCTACACATAGAAACTACCTTTTGTATTTAGCTATGTAGGCTCTTCAATATTTCTCAAAAAACAACTGTAATTTGAGTCTTTACTTATTTTATACTTCAATAATTTAAACATTAAATAATTAATATCCTTACATATAATAAAATCGTTACGAACAAAAAGATATCTGTTTGTGTGTTAAAGCTTCACAAAAAAACGGCGGGAGAAATTAGTTTATATAAAGGATTGTTTTTAGAGAAAATCTCATTAGGTATTCATTACTGTTAACAAATCCCTAATAGTTTTTTTTAATATACTTCAATTGTACCATCTAGGGAGTAGAATTTTAAAACATCGGAGTCAGTCGTAATAATATAGTCGTTAATAGTAATTTGTAGGAACATCTTTGTTTATTTATTTATTTATTTATGTGGAAACACAAACTTACAAAAAAAAGTACCAGTTACGAATTCACTCTTAGCCAATTATAGTTACTTATCGACGACATGATTAAAAATACATTGCACACAAAAATAACCGTATAAAATTATATATTTTTAGACTCCACCAACATTAACGAGTTTGTTATATGGAAAACCAGTGCATGCGCATTTGTACATCGAACGGATACCGGTGGAGAAAGTGCCGGAGGTTGAGGCCGAGGCGTCCAAGTGGATGCACGATCTTTTCGTCGTAAAGGTAAGAATTATAAATTATATTTAACAAATATAGGCAGCGGCCGGAAGTAGCATAGTAGCAAGAGTAGCGCCGCGCAAAACACTCGTGTCTGAATATTATAACAAAAAATAAATATAGTAAATAACACCAATATGTAATCATAAAAACTGTTTTTAAATATTAAATATTTTGTACAAAGTCACTATTTCTCATTTGTAATTGTTACTTTTTTAGAAAACTTTACTTAAGAAATGATAAAGAATTTATAGGCCTCTTGAAAGATTGACCCCGTTCTGACTAAATCCTGGAGTGAATAGATGGGTATAACTACAATTTATTATAATAGACTTGGATCAGATTTGTGAAACTCGTAATTAAGTGCTAATGTAAGTTTACATTACAATTTAGCACCAAAGTTTAGGCTTCGGTTGATCAGATCTGTAGTATTAATATGAATAGTATAATATTTTAAGATTTTATTACTAAACTTACATATTTCAGTGTTGGCAATATTAATAAATATAGCACTATCAGTCATTTCAATTAAAGTATTATTGAAAATTCGCCAAAATTTAAAAGACATGACAAATTTATTAATAAAAAGAAACCAACCGATTTATGTAGTATACCTACTAATTCTAATATTGCTTAATTTAAGAAAAATACACTTATTGGTGACGCTATGATGATTAAGTATATCATCATAATATTTTAGAGTCTTGTTCTTTTGATATATCTATTTTAATCATATAAATCCAAATTCAAGTCCAATTGTAAAAGGAACCACAGTAAAAGTTCATCGAAGATATAACATAACAAAATTCAAGAGAAAAATAAGTGAACACAAATCTGCCGTAACTGTTATAAACTTGTCAGTAAAATTTATATGTATTTTTATGTGATTAGTCTACTACTGGCTAATAAACTAAAAAGTTGAATTGTAAAACTTCCATTACTCTTTTATGAAATCGGTTAAAAATAAAAGAAATATTCATAGGACTGTCGATGTAGTTACATACCGATGTGCCTACGTAATAATACATTTACACCGCTACGATGATCGTGAACATTAATAATTACCTACATTTCCTATACAAAGTCCAAATGTTGTACGACAAAACACGTAATGTATAAAAAAATCTGTCTGGTTGTGAATATCTTTAGTAAAGTTAATTTAATTTTGGATTAATGTAGAATAGCTAGTAAGCTATCCCGCGGCGATGCTCTTGTGATTTCAGGTACATAATATACTATACCTATTTTAATCTGTAATATGGTCTAAGTATCGGTATTTCGTTGTATTTCATTTGCTGGATACAATTTTTTTTTGGATGGTATTGCAATGATACATTTGCCGCACTATCGGAGTAGTGCACTGGCAGGGCACCTGTGGATGCCAAAATAAGCATGAAGTCAAGTCACTTAGCCTCTCTTGGCAAATGGTAATATACCCCGATGGTTTCCAGGGGGAACCGTGTGGAGGTCAACCTGTGGCACATTGCTAGCAATGCGGTTAATAGTCCATATTAATCATTATTCCCTATTTAATTTAATATTATGATAAATCCCTCCCCCTGACGGATTTGAATTATATACAGCTATAATCGGCTGTTTATGCGATATTGGATAACAAACATCCGGATGTACAAACTGTCGTATTTATAATAGTTCGATTAAAATAATCGAAAATTATTCTTAAATTCACTTCTCAAAAAAAAATCAATTTATTTTATCAGTTACGCCACTTTTATTAATGTAGTATCAATCAATTGTCAAAATTAATCTCAAACCATAACACACGTCTCGCAAGATGTTTCTCATTAACACACATTAATCATCATTTTATATATGTACCTATCGGTATCACAACTGTAAAAAAAATCTCAATACGTTGTTCCTAAGCTTTAAAATATAAGGAGGTTATCAATTTCACATGATTAATATATTTGTACTCACACACACACTCGAGAGAAATTTATAGACTATATGTTATTCTGATGTATAAGCTATAAAGTTTCATCAAAATCCGTTCAGTAGTTTTTGCTGATATTGCCCTTTATTTTAGTGTCGCCTGCAGAATGTTTAAATTGGAATTAAAAACAACCCAATCTTTAACAGTTTATATATTTTTAGGACAAAATGCAAGATTCTTTTATAAATACTGGAGACTTCTTTTCACAATCGGGCGTGGAACGTGTTGAGCCATTCAAAGCGTCCCGTCGTATTTATTCGCTGCTCAACACACTCGGGTGGGCGGTCGTTACGCTTACTCCGATGCTCTACTACCTTTTTGGCCTTCTGTTCAGCGGGAAACTCTTGTACTTCTCTATAGCTGCCGCTGTATTCGCAGCCTGTAAGTATATATTTAGTAATGATAGGTGTGATTTGAGCGATTGCAAATAGCAATATAATACATTTAAAAATAAAATTCAAATTTGGAATGTTACGCATGGAACATCGATGTTGTTTTGTTTTACTTTATATACATTTTTTCACTTCTCGAATATTCCGTGACGTCACTATTAAATTCAGTGTACAATAAATTCTAACCATTTTTTATATCTTTATTGTAACAACTTAAACATAGCAATATTCCTCTAGCAAACAATAGGTGTAGTTATAAAGTTAGAAACCAACTAAAAACCCAAACGAGTGATAGATCCAAACACTCAGGATCGCTAGTCTGTGTGATGTTATGGGGAATGCAATAAATAATGCGGAATGTATTATCAATTTTAAACCTAAGAACCGATGTCTTGTGATATTGTTTATCCTTACCTTCTTCTATTTATGTGTGCGTATTTATTAGTACATTTGCATTTATGTGTTATAGTTATATTTATAGTCTAATTGGTCGGTATTTATATTTATTTTTCAGTTTACATTCTTCTTCAAAAATCTATTGGAATGTCAAAAATCAGCCAGGGATCATCTTACGGGACTGAAAAGAAGTGAGATATCTCAGTATTGAATACTATACATACACAACAATTAGGTATGTATACTTCTAAAAAAAAAGAATTTGTTTTACTTTTGTATTTGCTACAAAACAAAATACCTAAGTGTTTGAGATAGTCTTACTGAGAATAACAGTTTTCGTAGCAGAAATGAGATAGATGTGATTAAAATATTCGCAATAATGTAAATCATAGTATAATAAGTATACTTGTTGGTCGTAAAATCAGTTGTTTTATAAATATTTTTATAAGAATCTAAAATGGAAATAATTTTGAATCGAAAATCTAAAGAGGTTTTAGCATGTACTATATGTGGATTTTTAGATATTTTTTTTAATGTGTAAACAAGTAAATGTTTAAGTAAGGTACAGTTTAGAATAAAACATTGACAACTTAAAATTATACTCAGTTATCTACTGTTGATTTTGTCGATTCATTAAAATATTACAACTGTGTTAAGTAATATTTTATACTACCTGTGAGGTATGATTAGAATATCATATCATGTCGTGGTATATGGAAAACATACTTTTCTATAACATTGTTTTAAAAATAGTTTAGGAATTAAATTGACGTATAATTTTAAATTAAGTATACGGAAGCATCGACAATGTCTACAGATTTCAAAATTATACGATGTTATGTGTGGGATGTATCTACTACTATGATATTCGAGCTCTTGATATTTCATTCTCTCTTTACATTGGATATCCCGCGTGTGGAAATTATAAATGTGCTATGATTACTATTTATTACGATTGTCAATCTGTAGTCGTTATAAAAATGTATCTACAAAAAATATACACGCTTGACACAAATATTATTGGGATATCCATAGTTTAGACTAAATAACGATATCAAATTCAACAGCAAAAAAAAGTATTATTTTGTTAATATGTATTTTAAATCGACAGCAATAATGGTTTCTGAAATATGGCTCAGTAATGTTCGGACAGGCAGAGTTCACTGTAAAAGCAAGACATTTAGCAGAAACGATCGCCTAGCTCGTCAGTAATTGTATTATTTTTCAGTTGTTTTAGTGTCATTTATACACAATTCATTATATAAAAGGCCTACACAAGACACTTACATCAGGGATATTATCGGAGCAGTGGTGAGGATCCTGGATGACCACGTGTGTAGCAAAATCAAAGTTGATTTCTCGTAGTGTGGTGATTGATCCGATTCTGTTTCCTTTACAACTGCTGCAATGTTGGCTCTGATCCTGGTGTAGTGTATAGGTGGTTTTATACTTATAGCTACATAATCCAAACAAAACTATGTAGTACCTATATGTACATTGGAACCAGCTTCGTGAATTCGAATCAGCATTTCGAATTTTGAATTTTCGGTACTTCTCACAGTTTGGTCGTCGAACCAATAAAGAAACTGCACAAAAAGGAACAAAGCACAAGAAAACAAATATTAAAATTTAATTTTGAGAGGCAGTAGCAGCGAGCAGCTATTTACCGATTAGATATAATTTAAGGTTACATTTTCTACAAAAGATATCTTCCGTTTAATATCTTAGTAACTATTGCTTAATTTGTTAACAAGTTACCATTGATATTCAATATAGTTTTCTATTTAATTTACTTACATATCTAACATATTTTTATAGTGTGAAGGCTAACGTTTTATATATATATCTCATAGAATGTAGACTTTCAAAACTAATACCTACGTTAAAATTCGAAATGAACGTAATCAAGTAATTATATCTATTATGACCTGAGCAAACCAGGGACAAATGTCAAAATAGAATACAGAATTATTAGGTAACGCCGTTCATGCCCGCAGACGCTACCTAACTGATATTTTGTTGTCCATTGACAAGAAAATATTCAAGTCCCTTGTATATACAGTACTGTATACCAAATATTGAAGAAAAGTAACTAAACCAAAACAAAGATCGTGATTGTATAGATTATAAAATGTTGAAACTGTAATAAAAAATATTAATGTTTGTAACTAGGTATATTAATGTTTTAAAATGACAAATATTTTTAATTACGCCATTTCACAATTTAGCTACATTTGAAATAATTTTCAATACATGTATGTATGTATGTATGTAGGTACATCAACTACCTACCTACTACTTGTATTTTTGGTGTACTTTGTACAGTCAGTATCATAAAATATTAGGTGACAGGGCAGACAATAATTATATTGAAAGGAAAGGTATTTTTTTAAGTTATCACATTATTATTAACTATAAATGGATCAAATACTTGTTCCGTTCATTAATGACTTACAAATAAAGAATATATTCTAATCATGTCTATTTAAAATTTACCAATTTACCATTACTATGTGTGAGATCACAAATATTCAGTGCGAAAACCTGACCACCGCTACCAGAAGCGTTACGACCTTCGCTATTAGTTACAGCGCGCCAAGCAATCACATTAGGCTTCCAAGCAATTAAGACGATGCCTCGTTCATAGGCGAAACATGTGTCAATATGGGTGTAGATTGAATCTAACGATATCACTAATATGGAAGATCGTGCGTCTTATAGTGGTGATCAAGTTCCTGCCCTGAATATTTGTGTTATGTATCACCTAATACGATGAAATATTATTTTAAATTACCTTTAAAGGTTAGTACAAGTACTAATATATATAAATATCTAATAAACCTACTTCAGCTATGGATCATTTTTGTTAGTTTTACTGGAACTATTTTATTTAACAAAAGAAAGCGAATAATTACTATAGTGGTTAAAGTTGTATTATAACAGATTTTAATTTGTACGTACAAACGAGTAAATGTATATGATATTGCGGAATTTAATTATTGTTAGAAGTAGTACATATTCATGTGTTTGTTGTATTACAATTTTTGGGACATCTAGAATTTTATTTGGATTTGATAATTTTTAGCCACTTGTCATTGTTCTGAAATATTGCATTGATACGGTCAAACTCTCAAATGGTACAAATTGAGTAATTTTGTGGGATTAGTCTATAATTTTATCCCGGTACAGCATAAGTAGGTAATCATGTTTAATGACGTCCATTTATTAATAATACAAAATGAGCAATTCCCGTACATGTGGGTGTGTACGATGTAGATATAGAATTTTAATTGATGGAAAATAATTTTGTTTTATCGGGAAATCTATAATTCGTATATAAAATCCATCCATCCATTTTCCAGTATTAAATTGCAATAAGAAAACAGTAAAATCCTTTTAAGCTGAAAATACAATTTTAGTTGTTGAATTTTCCACATACAAGAATTGTTCATATTATTGTCTACTCTAACCTACAGATAACTTTATTTTACTTTCCTTCGTCTTTTGTGTCACCAATTTCTATAGTTGTAATTTATTTAGTATAACATGTATAATAATTGTGATATTGTGCATAAAATTTGTTTCTTTGTGATAATTTTGAGTATTCATGACGCCATTCTAACTTTTTGTAGTTATGTACATTGTACGAAAGAGCATGCTGTCTGTACAATACTATACTCCGCGCGTTATGGCAAGGTGATAGACAAACAAATTACTAAAAAAGAATGATTACGGTGTTACAAAGGCTTAAGAAAATTAATCACTATTAGATTGACTAAAATATTAATTAAATTCAGTTCAATTAGGTACATATAAAGGTGTTAAATCTAATATTACAATATTCAGCGCGTGGAGTTAGTGATACTAAAAAATTAAGTTGCTTTATTTGTCTTTTGCAGTAAGTATAAAATAAGACAAATCTTTATGTGAATTTTATTTGTATTTGTTTGTTCCCTATATTTTGTATAAACTGTAAGTAATTGTAATAAAACTAAATTAAAAAGACAGGTAAATTTCACGGGTAGGTATAATTTTCGATTTTTATATTGGAATGTGTGCCAACATTTGTTGAGATTTTTATTATTTATATACTGTATAACTAATTTTCTTGTTACTAGTTGGTTGATGGATCAAATTCTAGAAAAGGAAATAAAAATTCTAAAAATATATAGAGACATTTTTATTTATATATCCAAATGTAATTTTATAAAGTAGATAGATGGACTTCGTATGTAGCGTATGTTACAAAAACGTAATAGAAGATATCACAAAGTGTACATGTTTGGCACTAAATGTACTATATTTGAGCTTGCGTGTAACAGCTTAGACCACATCATCACTTAACATCAGGTGAGATTGCGATCAAACACGCTTAAATTTTAATATAAAAAAAATAATATTTCCCTCTTATTATAAGTACCTTTTATAGTTGGTATCAAAGGTTTTATCTAGTTGACAACGTTGCACACTTGGTGTTTTTGCAAGATGTGAATTGTTCCATTATAGAAGTGAATCAGATAATACGAAACTTACTGAAATCCAATATTTTCATGTAGCGAATACGAATAGTATTTTTTTTTTTGTGTAACTGCAAATGTGCAATAATCGTGCACAGTCGCAAACCTTGCAATTATTTCAAATAAGAAACCGTTATAACACAGTTAATATAATCAGTTCCCTGACCGTTCTACTGCGCACACTCGTGTGTATATAACTCTCTTTTTTATGTGTTTCCTACACATAATCACAATCTTCCTACTACTATCCACCGTCAGCTTACCTTTGAGCTGCAGTATGATAAAAAAACTCAATAATTTATATAAATAAATATGTTTAATGTAAATATAAAAGTCTTATTTATTTTAGTACCAATATTTAAATAATTATATTATATGTTAATGTGGAATATCCATTTTGCTCAGTCTTAATATGAAGTCAAGTAGATACATTTGAACTTTAACTTCTATTGGTTTATTTGTTACGAAGAATCCTGGTACACCTGCCTTTTCTAATGTTACTTGCTGATCACTCACCTGAAAGAAATATTTTCGATTTAAATACATGTGATGTTCAATGCTTATTTGTAAGCCTAAACTGCATTAACAGTTATGCTCACCACTTTACCAGATTTAGTTTCACAAATATAGCTACTTGCAATAATGAGAAAATCAATATAGGATTCAAAAGAATAAAGTTACTCTGTCTGTTAACAAAATAAAATATCTTTATGTACCAATTAAAGGACGTTGGTTTTGTGATAATGATATAATGCACTATTTAGAAGAAACTTGATCATAAAAAAGTTTTTCTGTCGTGTACTTTTTTAGAACTATTAAAGCAGAGCACTTGAATGCATATTTTTGCGTAACTTTAACCATTTACGCAGCATGCGCAGCAGAAGTATTCAAAATATTTTTTTATTTTTTCATTGCAGCTCCACTCCTATTGGTCATAGCGTAATGTTATATGTACTATAAGCCAATCGTTCTTAACAGTGGAGGAAATTAGTATTACTATGCATTAATTGTACTATTTATGTATATTATCATATTCACCTTTTGGTCCAACTGCATAACTAATTTCATGTCTGTTTGTTTAAGTTCATCTCTATGTCGACTTAATAGTAGAGTTTTTTGTAGCTCCTGCTGCTCTGGACTTTGTATACTCTTAATCATATTTTGAATTTCTACTGAAATGTCAACAGAACACAAATAAAAAAACTGGTGTTTTTCTAAAATTGTAAACAGAAACCAATTCATACTCATGAAGTCAAATGTTTGCACCATAAGAGCAATAGAACCCTGCGACCATTGGAAGCAAAGCAATGTGGTAAACTAATAGATAGACCACAGAGGCCATCCGAGAATTTTTTATTTTTTGTAGGAAAGCCACGCAAAATATTATTAATAGTATACATCAATAGATTAAAACGATATATTACATGTATGTTTGTTAATAATTTGTAATCGCTGCTGAAATAGGTGTTTTTCTGTAACATGTTGGATCTCCATTAACCCTTTAACTATTTCAAATACAGTATCATTAAGGAGACAGTTTGCCAGGCCTGATAGAAGTTCAATTGGTACTCGCATCTGGTATTTTCTGTAATAAGTTTAATATTTATTATTAATTTATATACATACACAAACTATAAAGTTAGGTACAGATTTTATTATGAAATAAAATATTAGGGTTTCACCTTTTTAAAAATTAGTATTATTATATTTTTTTATACCATATTTGACAGATGTTATATTGTTTGACTGCAGAAGCATTCCTTAAAATTGTTTTAGTCAAATTAGTAGGAAGTTATTAATCTATACATATAAATAAAATTGGAGTGTCTGTTTGTAATATCGATATTGTTTTTTATTACATGCAGTTATTTCTGTGTATGTACATACACAGAAATAGAGACCGCTTACCACCTATGCCTGCGCTATCTGGTGGAGGAAAACCCTCCAATCCACAGCCGCCACCAAGCTAAACAGCCTACAGAGAATTGCTTGTCTGATTATTACAGGAGCCATGAGCACCACGCCGGGAGCAGCTCTAGACGCATTATTGGACTTGACGCCCCTTCCTTTATTCATACAGGAAAAGGCGAAAGCCAATATGCTCAGAATAAGTTCCCAAAGGAGGATATCTTGGCATTCCCTGGCCATAAAAACTATACAAGACTCGATTATGAGTGATCCTATTCTGGGAATGCCTGAAGACAACATGGCACCAGAGTGTAACTTTGTACAATATTACAAAATCGAAATATCTGAAAGAGACGAATGGCAAAATAACCATACACCGTCTCACTCAGAGCATGACCTAGTCTGGTTTACAGACGGGTCCAAAATAGGAGATGATGTAGGATGTGGAATATGTGGTGTAAAACCCAAAATCTGCAACTATATAGGCTTAGGAAAATACGCCTCAATCTTTCAGGCAGAGACTTACGCCTTAATTAGATGTCTGGAAGTAATCCTAAGCCTCAACTACATCAATCAGAACATATACATTTATTCGGACAGTCAAGCTGCTCTACTAGCACTTAACTCGTACGAAATCCGTTCTAAACTTATTAGAAACTGTATCCTGCTACTAAATGAAGTAGGAAGCAGAAATAATATTATTCTGAGATGGGTCCCCGGGCATTCAAATATTGAAGGCAATGAGAATGCCGACCATCTGGCAAAGTTAGGGGCAAAAACCGTCCAACTGGGCCCCGAACCCTTCTGTGGTGTGCCTCGTTGCCTAAAACTGGGACATCTCAAATTAATAACCAAACGAGAAGCACTGAATCATTGGCAAGAAATGCCAGGATTAATACATTCAAAAGACCTTATATCGGGCTTCTCGACCAAATACTCCAATCGATTACTGCTATTGAGTAAAAACAACATATGCATGATGACTAGGGCCCTCACAGGACACTGCAAATTGAACAAGCATATGGCTAAGCTAGGCCTATGCACGACTAGTATCTGCAGATTCTGCCAAACTGAAGAGGAAACGCCGCTTCACATCCTATGTGGTTGTAGCCCACTCATGCATAAACGAAATATCTCCTTTGGAAAGTTTACACTCTTTCCCGAGGAGATAAAAACGATCGCTCCTAAGAATATCCTTCAATTCTTGTCCCTGACGGGTCTAGGTAGCGAACTCTGAAAAGGGCGAGCACAATAGATCTTTGTAGGTCGCAGTGCTACAGGTGCTACACATCTGACAATAGCCCAAACAACCCAATAAAAAAAATAAAAAAATACATACACAGAAATAACTTTATATACACCAAAATAATATTTTTTGTCTGTCTGTCTGTTTGTTCCAGCTAATCTCTGAAATGGCTGGGCCAATTCTAGCAGGTAATAAGGAGTAACTTAAGCTACTTTTACTTTAGAAAAATAAAGTTATTTCCACACCAACATAGTCGTGGGAACTGCTAGTATATAATCTTAATCTCATTCTGACAAAAAGTCACTCTTCATTTTCGGCATGAATATTACTGTCTACTTTCAAATATTTATATCAAATATTAATTACAAATTTCCGGATAATAGATTTGGGAGAATGGAAACTAATTGATATGCTCATAAATGTCCATATTAAGTTAATTTATCCATATTAAGATATATGTAAGTACATATAAATAATCCTTCTTAAAAAGCCAGCAACACACTTGCCCCTGGTTTTGCGTGTTCATAGATGGTGGTAATACTTAAATCAAAATAATCATTTGACAGTTCACTTCAAATAAACCACATTAAAAGTATAAAACATTTTGAAAAAAAAAAGTTATGAATTGTTGTATGATTTATCTTAGTTCCCCTGATACAGAAATGAATAAATACATTATGAGGAAAGTTTGGATATTATAATTTTAATGAGCTTTTATTATTATTTGACAATGTATTGTAATGGTAAAAAAATCAAAATCAACCCGGTTCCATAGTTAGCTTATTGAATGCACCCACAATACATTATTTCCTCGTTATTATAACGGCATAGCATAGACAATAATACAAAATTTTGGAAATATAATACTAACTGGGGTAGTTCTCTAGCCATGTCCTGTAGCTGTTCAAGTAGAAAATACAACTTTCTCTGTAGAGCTTCAGGTGTCGGTTCGTTGATATCCATTTGTGTTACATACAGAATGTAAGTTATTTGATATACCAATAGTCAAAGAGCGCTTATGAGAAGATACTCTAATAAACAAAAAATACTTTTACTTTTTATACTATTTCTCCCTTTAATATCTTAAATTTTTATTTTGTTTTGATCAGCTGTTTGTATTTTAGATCACAGTTCATTCAAATGAAGTCTTCTGTTCACATTATCGTGACGCACGAAGCTGTTGGTAGCATTGAATGACCATAATTTTATCCAACTAATATTTGGAGATGTACCTAAAATATCAAATAACAGTATTTATCTTTTTTTAATTTTAGGTTCTTAGTAGTACAATTAAGTTATGTAAATAAACATTAATTCTATATTTTTAATATTTTAAACATTAAATCGCACATTTAACGTATTATAAATAATCCCTCAAATTCTAAATTAATTAAGTAGTTTTCATCGGATTATTTTTGATAGTTTGACAAGTGCCTGTCTGCTATGTATTTTAGTGTTCTGTTCTGTCATGCTCTGTCACATTGACAATTAAAATAAAATTGGTCATATTTTCTTTGTATTTTTAAAACATATTTGAAATTTTAATTTTATTCTTTAATCAATTAATTCTACTTTATATTACAATTTGTTAATACACAATTATATGTTTTACTGTCTCTGAATAGTTTGTAATAATTACTGCAATAAGAATTCATGGATAACTTTACTAAATTGTTTTTGCTTTATCTTTGTTGTTTAGCTCAAACTGTTAAAGTATCTGACAAAGATGTAAAAACTAAACAAATATTCACAACTTTTAATACAGAAACTGAAGTGCTTCCAAACTTGTAAGTAAAAACTACCCTCGTTAAAGTAGAACATTTTTTATATTTCCCTTTTGTTTACAACTTTACCACCATGTATAAGATGATAATGATCCATGACTGATGTAAACATTTGTTAATATAATAACATGTTAACAAGTTTACACATCCTATTTATAGAAATAAAATAAGATGTGTCTGATCAGATGTTTTCTATTTTATGAGAAAACAGACACATCCCTGCTGATGGATGGTAATGGGTTATCATGGTATAAATATTTATACTCCGCATGGATGCATTCATTCATCATTGAATAATCTCAAATTTCTACAAACACGAAATTAGTTTTAGCCCAATTTAATTCTGAATATTGTTTTCTTTACTACAAGTGTAATAATGACAATTTTTTAACTTTTTTTCAGACAAACTATTGATAAAAGTCATACTTTACCAGTACCAGATATATGTGTAGAACTATTAGATAACTTTGCACAGTATGCATCAGATTTCACATTGTGCTCTATTAAGAATGCTTGGCCTGTGAGACTTTGCAGGCAATGCATTGATCAGTATGTAGTATTTAAATCTAAGTATCAAGAATTATTAAATACAGTAGATAATGGAACATCATGCCAAACTATTTATATTTCACACGATAGATTAGATGTGGTACTTGAATATTATAATAGCATTCTGGATATATGGGAAAAAGGGAACTGCAATGGTAGGTTTCATTATTTTCTGTAATTTATATCATCTTATATATATTTCATGTTTGTTTCTGTAATTAATTAATTATTTCAGCTTGTTATGACTGGTCTGGACCATTGCCTGTAGTATCAAATGACACTAAGATGTTTGATAAAATGTTTAAAGAAACAATGGACTGCATTGCAACTAACAGTACACCAAAAACAAATGCTTCAGACGAAGTTTGTGAAAGGTGCATGCAGCCTTACCTAAAATTGGACTTATTTTATAGATCCCTAAGTAAAGATTCTATAGGGTTGGACAGTGTGTGCTTTGATATAGTTGACTCTGTGAGTTGCTGGTTAAATATTTTTTATACTTATTATTTAATTACACTTTTAAGTAATACAAGTAATATAAACTATTATATTTATAGATGAACACAACTAGATCTATATGGAGCAAGGATCTTAATTGTTGCAAACTTAGAAAGACACCAGAAATAATATTTTTGGTATGCACAGGAATTATCTCTTTTTTACCAATACTGTTTTACATAGCTGCAAGATTTTGTTCTCCAATAAGAGCACTACCAAATATTTTTAAAGGTAAACAGTTCATTCTAAATTGACATACATAAGATATTACACACCTAGTACCTAAATGTAATTAACAATTATTTCTTTCAGAAACAAGATTCAAGCAGTCCTTTATGAGGTCAAGTCATGGAAGGATAAACTAAAAGAGGATTTATTTAATTAATATTTAAATAAAACTGCTCTTTATTTCAAACTGCCCGACTGTATAAGTGTGATACTCATACATTGTTTATTATGTAAATATAGAACTAAAGTTAAGCTATTAAAAAAAGATAAAAGCAAATGTTTGCATAATGTATGCTATTAGAATTCTCAGCCTTCATAACAGATAATGTGATTGAGTGATGACTATAGCAATATTTAATCCATCCCTGTGTATAATGGAAAGCAGTATATGACAGGCAATTTTTTAATTTATTAACACTGAATAATTATTTAGATATCCATAATTGACATTTTCTTTTGTTGAATTCAGTGTACCTACATATATGACTATCTGGCCAACTTTAGTGCAACTGGCACGGAGAGAACCTGACTAAATGCCCTGAATGCCCAATCAACAGTTTATAAAGAGCCTGGTGGTCTAAAAATATTTAAATGAAAGGATTATAAATTTATGACGAAATATAAAAGTACATGGGTTCACCTTTGGACTATTTGATAATATAAACATCCAAAATCAATTTTTAATTTAATAACTTAAAAAAATATACCATGCACTATGGATAAACAGTAATATTGATAAATTATAGATATAATTATGCATTATATAGTAATTTACCCAAAGAATATAACTAAAATAGAAAGAAGATATATTTTATTTAAATAAATTAAATTGTTAATTAATTAAAAGTATTTTATTTAACATTGTTTTAATTCATAGACACATAGAAGTTTTCAGGTAAGCTATACCAATTGTTTGTCACATTCTTAAATAACTATCTGTGTCTTGCTTTTTTGTTGCTTTTTTTTATAGTGTTGCCATTAGTATTGTTATTAGATATTTTGTGTTTTAATGCATTTGGTGTGGAATCACCCTTGGTCATTATGCTCATACTGGAATCTTTATCTTTAGGTGTGCCTGGTCTGCTATCTAATCCAACAACTGACAGTATTTTACTATCACTACTGAAAGCCTTTTGTAGCATACCAGATGAAGTTGCTATTTTTTGAGTAGCACTTTGTTTCATTTGAGAATGGCTGAGTGCTTTTTCAATATTACCATTTGTATGCTGTTTACCAGATGGTTTTGATGCAATGCTTTCAGAAGAGCCATGTATTGTTGTGTGGTTCAAACTTCCAATATTCAATCCAGAACTGATTTGTGTATCAGATGAGTCCTCATTTGTTTGAGATTCTGTTTCACTGTTTCTATCATCTAAAAATAAAATTAGAAGAGTAATAAATAGTGTCAAATTCAAGCATTCAAAGGAGTAAAGTTTTAGGTAGTAAATATTTCATTTTATTACTGCTTTTGGAAAGTTGTATTTAACAACTTCATATAATATATAGTACTTAGGATTTGCTATTAATGGCATCACTATGAGTTTATTTCACAGATTCTAATTTATCTTATGCCAAAAGACCAATAAAATACACACTGGGGCATAGTGTGTATTTTAAAAACAAAATACACAATATATATATATATATATATATTGGGTCTTTTGGCAAATAGTGCAAATATTTTTTAATACTAAAAATTAATTATAAATAGTTATTCTGAACTCACTTTTTGCTTCTGCAGGATCAACAAGACCACTAACTGCCTGTTAACAAATTAAAAATATGTAGAAAAACATTCAGAATTTATGAGATGGAAGAAGAGATATAAATCAAATGAAATGATTTAAGTTTTCCAATATAACATATTATAAGAGTTTGTAAGGTACAACTCCATAATCATACTAACTCATTGTCTGAATAATATTACATTCTAATAATTATCATCATCATAATCAGATGCTAGTAAGTATTTGGAAAATAAAACATGAATGATAAATTAACAATCTATGACAACAACAATAAAATTGACCTTCACATCTTTTACTGATGTGTTGCTAGAATATGCAATTGTATATATAGCATGCATTGCGTACTATTCCATTTTGATCTATTTAAAAAATGCTTGTAAAATTAATTAATAAATATGAAGTTTACAATAAATTAAGTAGTACATTACTTACAGCCATAGATGTTATGGAAGACTTGGAGAACAATCTTTCTGCCTCTTTAAATTTTCTGTTACGTTTGTCTGCCTTGGAATTAGTACTCTTGTTTGTTGTGAGATATCTATCCCAGCCTCGAATAATATTGCCATAAAGTTGAGTATCTTCTAAGTAAGAACCCTCAAAGGCATATATTTGCCTCTCTAAATTGGCTAAAGTTTCCTACAAAAATGCAAATTGCAAATATTATTTAAAAATGCACTTGGCTATGAATATGTATTGATCAATATACCTATATTTTTAATAATAAAAGATGAATACTTGGAGATTATGATTGTTAGTTTATTGATCCTTCACCAATATTTAACGTAAAAACACATACAATAGTTGATTATTGGGTATTTGTCAAGGAATAAACAATAATAACTACCGTAACTAGTAATTGTTTTTGTATCAAATACAATCTGCATAAAAGCAAAGGAAAGAGATCAGATGTTTTTTTTCAGTGTATTATGTATTTCACTGTACATTACTTACAGCTACTTCAGCCTTCCTTTTAACTAATTCAGCTAATTCGGCTCTCGTGTCAGCCACCGATGTTTGTTTGGAGGCCATGTTGGATTTTCTTATTTGCACAGTTTCGCTGACGGGACTTTGCGGTGAAACAACCATTTCGCTGACTATTTATGCACCTGTCGCTAATTACCTATACTTCCATTATAATTTAATATTTGAAGATTATATGTATTCAATCAGCAAGAAGATAAAGGAAAACCATACAATGTTTGCGTTACATTACATCAATAGTTTCAGATACAAACTATAGACTAAAGATCACAGAACACCAATATAATAGATATCATAGACTTAGAGATACTTTACTTTTTATTTTCATGCTTTGGAGTCTAGGTCAAACAATAGTTTAGTATTTTCAGAAGTATTTTCCTTAGAGTAATAAATCATAAATATTAGACACATGGAGAAAATGTCAAGAATTAAAATATAGAATCCTAATTAAAATATTAACTGGTCAAACTATATATTTATTACAATTCCATCGTATATATGTATCATATACAAAGAAGTAAAATAAATTAAAGTGCGAAATATGTAATGAGCAACTTTGAAATTCTAAACTATATACATTTGCTACGTTATCTCTTTTAATTCATTAGTATCTACATAAATCACGATAAATTACTTAGATTTTAATTAGAATTCCTAGTAATAGTAATTAGTTTTCTTAAGAGAAAATGTTCTGAGGAGAACTTTCCATTCCAGAATACAAAAATAAGACGGATATTTGTAGAGAAAAACAGACCAAACTATACACTATTTTACATTGATTTTTTTAAATAAATTAATCAATTAAGATCCTAAATATCAATTCACGTCCACGTGTTAGGCTAAGTTGATAATGTCTTCTAGTTAAATGTATAATCTTAAGTCGAAGGATATTAATCAAGTTAACGGGGATTGTTGCCCCCAGTGTTAAAGCCGGGGCGCTCTCCTACGGAGTGTGGAGTGAGTCTGTGCTCTGTGACAGTTGACGTATACAGACATTGACTTTCACAATTTGACATTTATTAAATAATTTTGTGAAATGTGTTTCCTATAATGGCTTATCTAAAATTAATCAACAATAATTGATATTTAGATAATAGACTAACAATTTGCCTACAGTGTAAATTAATAAGAAAATAGCTTAATAAATTCAAATGTCTATAAACTACATTCCTCGGGTTACGCAGGTAAAATTCAAAGTAAAATAGTATAGTTTTTGCATCGCATGTTATTATTATCCATATTTACGAAACCAATATCTGTGTATTTTCAGCTGGATGCTGTTCAACTAGATGTACAGGTCGAGGAATTATTTAAACAATTGTTGTTTCAAGCCGCCAGGTATTTGGAGGTAATATTATGTACTTTTATTTAAAAAGACTTCAATTCTAAATCAATATATTTTATACAATATTATATGAACAGCCGTGTTCGTAACATCCATGTTTATGATTATAATTATGAAATATTTATCAAAGTTATTTCGAAAAGAAACGGGATATCAACAACTTTAATTTGAAGTTATTTTAACTTTTTTTAAAGTTCAGAAAGTAGACTTGAGAATCATAAACAGTAGTAGCATTTGCATAAACAGTAGTAATGTAGACTTAAATAATTTGTTGATACAAAATAGCAATCACATCATGTGACACCTGTGGTTCCCATCATATATTCATTCTGAAGGAAGAAATATTGTTTAAAACCATTAATACAGTCTTTAAGTAAGATCATTGCCATATCTCACTTTCAATTGAAGAAGAGCTTACAAAGCAAGCTGCTTAATATCTGAATTAAATGAGACAGAGGCACCTACCCAACCACTTTGTAAACAGAGTGCTTGAGAGAAAAATAAATTTAAGGTTAGCCTTATTTAATTCTATTTTTCAGCCGGGAATCCTACAGCCAATTCTTCCAGAGCTGGAGCTTATTATAAGAACATGGATATTCAGATATTCATTCTACAAAAAACATTGCACATTTGGACAGGAGATGCTTTCCTTAAAATATAAAACTGATAACATATCACAAAGTAAAATGTATTGGTATTATGGCTTTACAGTTGGTTTGAAGTATATTAAAGAGAGAGCTATGTATAGTTTGACATCAAACCAAAGAGTACAGGACCTTGTACATAAGCTTGAGACTTTTCAATTAATAAGTGATATCTTTAATTTTCTACGCTTCATACAATATGGAAAGTACCCTGTACTCATAGATTTTATACTTGGACTTGAGTTGACAGCAGATAAATTGACAAGAGAAGATCTCACAGACTTTTCATGGACTCGAGAATTATTGTGGCATAATTTTATTGTAAGTAATTTATTTATTGCATTTCTAATTTTTTATTTATTAATTAACTTCTATTTTTTATATCACTGTTTCCCATGTATTCTAACATTTATTTTGTGTGATATTACTATCAGTTGCTGAAGGTTTGAGCAGATTGAATTGAATTCATGTTTCTAAATATATTTTTTTTTGTTTTGCATGTAACAATATAGTCTACTATACTTCTTATCAAGAATGATTTATGTTATTTTGAAACTGTGCTTCAGTCATGAGCATCCTGAAGTTGATATTCTTAAAGGAATAACTTTATAATTGTAATTATATTGTCAATATTTCAGGAATTAATAGGCACAGCTATATCACTTATGAATATGTTTGGCTTGAAAAAGAAATTGTCTACTGTTTTGAAGTATATGTGGTGGCGACACTATAGCCGCACATCAGGCACTCCTACTAATGCTACTATGACACAGAATACTGTGTGTGCCTGTTGTTTGAGTAAACCTGTGTTGCCATATACAATGGGATGTTCACATATTTTCTGCTATTATTGTATAATGGTATGTTTTTAATATTTTAATACTTCAGTAAAATATATATCTATTGATATGCCACCCTTTGTGGTATAGAGAGCTGGAGGAGGCCTATGCCAAAAGGCACACCGAGTTGCAGGACTTTTTCTAAACATCAAATGTACCCCAACTTCGGGAAAAAAAAGCCCTATATTATTATTATCTTGAGACATCCATGATACTACTCATGCTGCCATTCCAGATGACTAAGATGTCGAGTATCTTACCTTGTAATTTCACTATCTAATTTGGATCCTGCAACCAAAATATATATAATACAAAGCAAGCTGCATCCCAGGTGAAAAAGGCGAGACTGAGATATCCAGGCTGACAACTTGTTACTGCCTACCTTTGCTCAAATTAACGTTAATAAGTTTAATTTAGTTCAAGACACACCTTAATTCGTTTTTTGTATGTTAATTGAACTGAAATTTGAATATACATTATGTTTATTGTTTTAGGCTAACAAAACAGCAGATCGAGACTATGCATGCCCAAAATGTTATTATAATGGAAAAAAAGTACATAAATTTGTTGTGGTATAATGAAGGTAACTTGATTTGTTAATGCTGGGTAGAAGACTTATTATGGTGCTGTGATGTATAATAGATTTATAGCTAATTAATTGATGAAATTGTTACTTTTATAAAGATTTAATAAATGTTATAAAATTGTTATGTTTTTCTTATTGCATTGGTATCCACTAATGAAGGCATTGAATTTGATCTAAAATGCAAGAATTAGTACTTTAAATTAAAGTATATTTGATTGTAAATGAAAATGTGTATGACGGGGACAAGTTCTGAAGGGCACTGCTAATATTCATAACTTCCGCTAATGTCGTCGTAATTTACGTCCTTTATCAGGAAGTCTACGTAGTCTATTGTATGAAATTTCAAAATAAATAGTTTTCTTCCTATTACAAAACGTAATGCAAAGTTGGCCATAGCCAATATACATAAAACATCTATAAATATTAATATAATTTTTATCTTTTGCATTGTCAATATTTATAATTATGTAGGGCTGACCACAACATTACAAAGTAGCGTTATTAGGCTGCGGTTTCTTGTAGATCACTAGTCTTCCGCTACAGTTACTGAGCAAAAAATCGCTCAATGGACTAATGCAATAATCATGTACTTAACTACCAGATCAAATTAAAAGGAAGGTTGATGGCACGAGTTCACAAAATAATAAGAAATACATTATATTTTTTTATGAAATGAAGTTCATACTTTATTATATGCAATTCCAGTACTTAATGAAGCGCTACGTGATCTATTTACAAAATTCCTAACAATTATTAAAATTAAATACTAAACTATTGTAATGACTTATATAATAGATATATCTAATATAATAATTAACAGTTTAGGTGTAGGTTGTACCTAATATTTTATTCTACAATTGTCTTTAAAGTTATTATTTTACATTCAAATAATCTAAAATATATAGTATCAGATTAACATCGTCATCATTTTAGTGGTACTATTGTCGACCGTTATTACGCCGCGAGGAACGCTTCCAATCATCCAAACAAATCGCTATTTAATTAATTGAATCTTATGTTTTATAAGTATTTATGTGCATGTTTATTAACTTAAGCGGACTACATGTCTACTTAATACATAGGTATTACACTTCGAGATTTCCGTTGTTTATTTCGTAACTGTCTAAAATAAGCCGATTGACCACATTTGTCAGTTTCCGTGAGGTTTAGTTAGGTACAAACATATTGCAGCAGACTTGTATTTCTTAAGAAGTCATATAAGTACATGTATCTAATAATATCTATAATTTAGATAACTTGTATATACGAGTATCGTATAAGTCTTGGCCCTGAATTATTGATATAATAGACGGTTTACAAAACCGTGAAATAACCGTAACCGTAAATAATATGTAACAATATATAGATGTTCTTGTGCTTAAATAACCGTACATATTATTAATAATTTAATTGTGTATATTAAAATGTATGAATTGTACGAAGCACCATCATATTATGGTGAGTTTTGACAAATTAGATGGCGCGAATAGAATTTTCATCCTTAAATATTAAATTGTATATTCTTTCTCATGACAACTATTTGAATGGAACTTGAATTAAGTATCATCATAGTAGTAATCTGTCATCACGCCGAGAGTAAAAATGAAGTAATAATAATTAATAATATATATAATAATAAGTAAAAATAATAATAAGTAGTAATAAAAAGTATAGTAAAACCTTTTTAACGAATCTTCTTTTTTCTTTTCCATGTGCCAATGTGATTGATCGGTAAACGATATCGAAGTATTAATCGTAACAGACCAACATTATTCTTTACATACATAAATTTCTGATTAATTCTAGCATTGTCCACCTATTCCGTATATGGCGAATATTGCCCCAATTCCATCGAAGTGGGGTTGTGGGTACTCTAATGTTGATTGTCTTTGCTGTTACGCACGTCGGCGTGAAAACCGGTCTCCCAGTCGGCTACGTAGTCCACTGTCCGCACTGATCCGTCCGGCTCCACCAAAGAATATTGACCTGGATATATAACAACTGCATGTTATTCTGTGACATTTTTGTGTTATGATTACCTTCATGGTTACACAAGTGACTACCATGTTGATTAGTGGAGCGAAAATGTTTTAAATATAAGATTAAGCAAAAAGTTTCTAAAAAGTGTATGTTAAAAAGCGAACTTCATTTTAAATGGGAATATTTATCTGTTATTTTTTTATTTATCTCGTAGTAGAATTCAAGTGCAAACTCAATCGACAAAACTACGCGAAAAACACGATTGACATGATCCTGCTTATAAACATACATAAACATATCTACATTCCAATGATCATTGGTATGTATTACCAGTACTACCAGAATTCACAGAAGGAAATTTTTAGCGAAATAATAGCATCCTGTCACTTTAAATTTAGCAAGAATGAATACATAAAATATAATTGAAATAATAATCGTATACCATACATATTTGTTTAGTTTCGTTACTGAATATTCTTACCTTTGACAACTTCACCGTCTCGTTCTTCTCTTTGTTGCTTTATGTCACCTGTATGTGGATCGTTGACGCTATACTCGTAAGCATATCGTGGATGGGCGTCCTGCGAACATTACGATACGATATCATTACTAACGGTTGCCCTTTGCGCTAATATCGTGAGAAATGCCAGCCAAAGGTTACAACTAAACTATATAGGGCAGTCGTCAACAAATGAAAACGATTGTAACTTACGTAATTGCACATGAACAATGATTTATCATTTTTAAGATACATTTGATAGTGTTCTATCCTTTCGTATAAAGGTCAAAGTGAATATATACGAATATCTCTTCGGTTCAACAAATCGTCACGACATTTTATGATTCACGTTATTGAAACCGAGAAGCTTACTTACTTGATACTTTTTGTGTAATATTTTACTATCTTAGTTACGGGGGAAGGAGAGGGGAGTTATATTATTAGATTAGGTTTCAACCAACAGTCAGGATGAGAATGAGATGTGTTCATCATATAACGGATATTATTATTTTTTGTAAACACTGTAGGTTAGATGTAATGTCTGACTTTTAATTGCGACAACATAAATTAAATAAAGTCATCACATTATTAGCAATGAACAAAATCAAATCTCAAATCCACTTCCACGAGGTGTCTTAATTAACCATGTCAGGTCGAATTGAACGTGATCTGGATCTGGATCTCATCGTGGTTAATTTCTGGTGAATTGGTCACGGCTAACTGACCTGACATACCCCTCATCATCATTCTCCACTAGTTCCCCGCTAACATAAGTTATTTTTTATGCCGTTCTCCCATTTATATCTGGATATTACCTCACTACGGCTTCCAGTAACATTGGTTACTTAGACGGATAGTACTTTCTAAGGTTATTTACCTACCATTGGGCTTGTTGCCACTTTAGCGTGCGCAGCACTTCATTTAATTGAGAGCACAGATAACAATACTAATGCGTAGGTATAAATTGAGAATGTACTTAAATAAATTTCCTTAAATGTGGGTAACAAGTACAATGGGTATTGGTGAGAAAGGATCGAAATTTCGAAAGCATAGTTACGAAATATCTCAAAATGTAGTCTGTATGGCTTTAGTATATTACACGTATAACGCTTATGGACTATTTCAAAACATTATAAAGATTTGTGGAAATGGATGTTAACTAGAATTATGATTTCTATACAACGTCTCTTAAATAGATATTTATTATAAAATAGCTCTTTCAAAATACGACATATGGGTATGATATTAGACGACCACGGTGGTCTAGCGTGTAATACGTCACTTCACTTCCGATGGTTGCGAGTTCGATTTGTTGCACGCTACGAATATTTGTGTTCATGAGGTCATTGTTTGTATGTTTGGGTGTTTTATTATGTGTATAATGTATGTACCTACATAATACGCATAATAAAACACCCAAAAAATTTAGTTATTTCTTTCATTTGTCTAGTACACATAACATAAGTTTTGCTTAGATTTATAAGGTTAAATAGCGCTGTGGGAATTGTGCAGAGTTTAAAATTATTGTTATTAACTAGCTGATCCCGGGAACTCTGTTCCGAAATCAGAACTTCAGAATTAAATGATATGTACTGTTTTTTAAATTTTGTTACACAATAAATTGCACGATGCATACTGTTTCACAGGTATGAAAAGTTTGTATGGGAAATTAAAGTTCATGTTTTTACTATTTTCCATGCAATTATTTTATCACCACTGAAACTTTCTTTTTACAAATAATTCAAAAATTAGCCAAATTTATCCAGCCGTTCTCGAGTTTTAGCGAGACTAACAAACCTCATTTCAAACATATAGATAATGCCTAAACGTATAATCAAATATCAAAATATGAAGCACCCTTCGTTTACTTGACCAGGGTAATCCTAAATGGTATGTTTGCATATACCAAATTATATAACTAGTTTTTTTATTTAAGTATAATTAAAACACCTTGATGTGATTTGTATGTGCCTTCTCAGAAATTTCTATTTACATCACTATAGCTTTTTTCGATCGCGATTTGTATTATTTTTAATAATTTAAAATATAACTAATTAATTACTCGGTACATATAAGATATGTATTATTATTATTATGTATATTTATTATTAAAAAAACTATATATAAACTGGCTGTAATTTAATTTTTAATGCAAATAATAATATAAACGCTATGTCAAGACTATGTAACTATTTAAACCGTATTATCGAAATATCTATCGAATAGATTATGTAATAACTATAGGTATGTACGACGACATTCGTCTACATTTGAGTGATTAATTGGCGTAAGAAGTCAATTTGAAAAAATCTGGATCCTGGTAGACGGGTCATGTTACGGTTACATCACAAAATATCTTGCAGGGATGTGAGGCAACTTCGTAATTGGCCACCTACGTAAATTTTGCGCAAAATGGTTACTATTTTCAACCTACTTCAAAAAGAAGAAGTCAGTTCGAGATTCGACTCTATTTACTTACTATTTTATTTTTACATGCCAAAGATCTATTATATTGATTAAATATCGTATTTATTTTAATTAAACGTTTAATGCAAGGAAAAGCAGTTGAAATAAGTTTTCAGCAATTACGAAATTAAAGGGGTACCTATATCAGAAATGTTAATTATGTTACAAAGTGTGAAAAAGTTCACTGTTGTTCAGGTAAGCCTAGTAAAGTAAATATTCCTAAATACAAATTATAGACGTGTATTTTAATGTATTTATAATAAAATTGCTATATTAAAATAAATTAAGTATTAAAAAGAATTTAGCGACGTATTAAAAAAGATTTATACAGTATATCTTTCAGTTTTCGTCAGCCTACATGTATATTGAGCCGTATAATAAACAAACAGACAGACAGAACAGTTTTTTCCCGGTTATGATTGTACTATATGTAAACATAATGAGGATAAACAAGATATATAGTATATGTTGTTATATTATTGCATGTGTTATGTTATTATTTTATTACACATTTAAATAGGAGCTATATTAGGCATATTTTTGTATTCTATTAAATATTTTTATATTATATTGAGTTTAATGTTCTAATTAAATATAATTATTACTAGATACTTACATAATTTTCCAAAAATTCTGTGTGTACGTTCTTAACAGCGACAGGTGTAGCGCTGATATGACCACTTTGGACACCTGTGACGGGTACTGACACTGATGGTAAAACCGGGGCACTAATGTGTGAAATTGGCGCGATTCTCTGCACCTGTTGAGCTGGTTGTGTATACTGCGCAACAGTTGGCACTGCATACTGAGTTACAGCTGGATTTGTGTACTGAGTGATAACAGGCGTAGAGTATTGTGCTGGTCTAAAGTACTGTGTCGAGGTTCCTCCTACTTGTGTAACTGAAGATGTAGCATATTGGGTGACTGGTGCAACTTGAGTCACTTGTGGAGCTTGAACAGCCTGTGTGTACCGAGTCACAGCAGGCGCAGCAACGTTGTAGGTGGCAGGCGTAATAACTTGATTTTGTTGCACTCTCAAAGCAGGAGACGTGGCGTATCCTGCAGAAGGTGCTGCATACACTTGAGATACTACTGGTCCTCCGCCTTGAACACTATAGGAGTTCAGCGATGCTTTTGCCAATGATCCGGTGTATGCTTGTTGGGAAATTGAATTTTGGGTCAAGTAAGTTGTTTTAGGTGGAGTTATAGAGAACCTGGCAAATAGTGGAGCAGCTGTTACTTTTGCTATTATAGGCGCTTGAGCGTACGTTGCGAGTGGAGTCACTCTTCTCCCTGATGAGGCTGCAGATGACAATCCCGCGGAAGTAGCGTATCCGTGTACTTCTTTTGTCGAATATACCGGCGCATCGTTTTGAGATAAGATTGTTGGCTGATATACAGGCGCTGGTTGTGGGGCGTATGAAATTTGAGGAGCTACAGCTTGTGAATACTGATACACAGGCGCAGATATTACTTGCTGGGGTACAATTGCTGGTGGAGCAGCCACTTTAACTCCAGAGGTGGTCAGTTGAATGGCTGGTGTAGGGTAGGAGTACCCATTATCACAGTTTTGCAGCTTTTGTACTTGGCCTAGGTGGTAATTCAAGTCTGGATCGTGGTATGCTAGTCCGTATGTGATGGTTGTGGCCAATAAGAAAGTCGAGAGTAGTGCCTGAAACGAAGACAACATTTCGTGTATAAGAAACTCTAAACTCTATGGTTTTAGACTTATTTAAGTCCGAATTACGAGTAATTTAACCATTGTGAAATGCCATTAAATTTAGAGCAATTACTATTAAATTTTCGATTTACCTGCATTTTGTATAATGCATGAGTGAGTGGCTGAATTATGTTTTGCATTGTATTATTTTACTTACCGACTTCATTTTTGCCCAATTGCGTGCCCACTAATAAATTTTATTGTTGTTATTACGTCATGTAATTATTAGGATGCTTTCAGTTTTGGTTTCCGTAATGTTTACATCGGTGTTGCCGAAAACTTAAAGCGTATTTGCCAAACTTTGGCGTCAGTCGAAATGAGAGCAAAGTGGGTCTGCAAAGTCTTATATAGTGATCTCATATGTGTAAGAACGGGTCACACTTTTTCACGTTCGCTAACCAGTGGTACTCAGTGGGCGCGGTCCACGTGTGTACGCTACGAGTAATTTATATAGATCTGACTACATTCATTATAATACATTATGGTTCGTTTAATATTACTAATGCCAACTATCTAAGGTAAAATGTATGTCGTATAAATTGATTATTTTAATTGAGTAGATATCATTGGTAAAAAATTACAATTTTTATAGTTTTTTTTTTGTTTATTTACTACATAGCGCTGTTACTGTTTAACACTTTTTTAAGTAATTAAACATTTAGTGTACTGTATGTCCTCCTCTATACATTACAGGTTACGAGTACACTTTTACATCGTGAAACAGGTCATAGGACGGAACTAGTATATATAAAGGTCCGGAATACATAATTAAATCTTTGTAAACATATACTTAAATGTTCATAATTATATTATAGCTAAAATATTTCTAATTAGAACCTATTGATTTGGTGATTTAATATACCTCATAAGATCTTAAATAGTAAAGGGCTAAAATATAAAATACAAAAACTCCGTATTTTAATTAAAATTCCCGATTAGCTCTCCATTAAGTGTGATTAGAGTTACATACTTAATTAATCCGAGAGACAGCGGTATGCTTGTATAAATAAAATGTTTGAAAAATCGTATGAAAATTTAAAATATTTCTATTAATAAATAAATAAATATATTAGAACAATGAAAACTTTAAACAATGAACAAATGAAAAAAATGACTAAAACAGAAACTTATAGGTGTTTTCATAACCAGAGTGTTACTCAAGAATATTAATTGACACGCAATTTTTTTTCACCGTCGGCCACATTTGATCCGTGAATTCAAAGTCGGGTAATAATCCAAAAGACCACGACGCGACAGTGTCGTCGTCAGGAAATAATTACAGTAAATAATAAAATAAAACAGCCATTGGTTTATAAAAATGCAAAATTGAAAAAGAGGTCTTAAACACAAAATACAAAAGGTTACTTAAAAAAAAATTAGTAGGAAAGAATACGCAGTGGTGTGAAGAAATTTGATGACATTGATTAAAAGCGAGGCGCCTATTCAACCTTGGTGTCTCAAGGGCACGGAATCTGCAGACTTTATGAGTCGACGCTGATTGTGTAAGTGAAAGCTCAATGATATTTTATGAACAATAATATTATTGAAGCAAAAGGTCTTTTATAATGTATTTGTGGTGTATATTATATATCCAAAGTCATGTGCAATATTTTGTGACACTTTATTACCTGCTTGGTTAAAATAACCAGTTCAACCACTAAACGTCAAAAGCAAAGTATGTAAAATGCGCAAAAAGGTGTATTAATTACTTATCAATGTTCACTGTAAATTAGTGAGCGTTGATAAGAATTTTCTTTCAGGTACTACATATATAGGTAAAACCGTGTCCGTTATTTTTATAGATATTTCCTGAAGGACTTCCTAATATTACAAGATAAGCCAGGCGTGGTATTTACGTTCACACTTGTTCTTGTCGTCACCTCTCATGGCAAACTCGGAAAGCAAGTGAGTGGTAATATATTGTTTTTTCTGAAAACATATGGAAGATCAATATGCTACAATTTATATAGTAAATTATACAAATGATTTCGTACGAAATATTTTAGAGAAGTATCCGAGAAAAATTTGTAAAAAACTATCACATTTGATGTTATTTATAAAGATACCAAGGCAGACGCCTTGGTACCTTTATAAATTACATCAGATTATTGAATAGTGACTGTGGGTACGATAGTTGCTTATAATATTCGACCTTCCTATTATCACAAGAAAATACATCAACCAGACAATAGTATTCCATATTAATCTTTATATAATGCAATATTGTTTTCGTTACAGCTTTTTATTTAAAACAATCTTTCAACGTGAACCCTAAATAACAATACGTAAAAGATACACTCCTATAATTCCCACGTTAATTAAGGAAATGATGAAACTCCCTAAATTAAGTAGCCCTTCTTGACAAATGTATGTACTCGGATACACAACACAAGGTCTTTTTATTGAGTGCCCTGGTTTTATTTTCAATATAAGTAATTAAGTAAGCCTGTACATGCAATTAGAAATAACAAAAATATTTATAAATATCACCCAATAATGACAAAATAAACATTAGCGAAGTTCATTTACCCTTTAGAGTGATGTATGAGTCTTGAATAATACAATTTCCTCATTCATGTTCCAAATTGCAATTAATGTCAGCAAAAGAGGTCACATACAGGCACCAGTCGGGCACCTTGCATAAGGTAACAAGCCCCTAAGCTTTGCAGCTTACATGCAAATTACGAAACTTCACGCATGCTACAGTAGGATTTAAACAGTTTTATGTCTATTAACTTCAATAGCGTGAATTCATATAACTACTAAGATAAGTATCAATTTTATGAGGTATTTGCCATAGATAGATAGGTAGGTATTCCCAAATAGTAATTAGTTACTACATGTGAACGGCTACATTAAAATATTTTAGGCTACGGTACAGCACGGCAATAACAACTTACCGATTCAATAGATATCATCACAAATTAGGTAAATAGTTATACCTAACATATTATTTAATATATTATAGTAGTTTAAAAGACTAGTTTGTTCAACGTATTTCTGTTGGGCTGTAATATCAGCGCATTACGAATTCTCAGACATAACTAAAAATGTAATTGTTTAGGTATAAATGAAAAGAAAGATGGTAATTTATTTATTTAAAATCAGGTGAATCTGCCACTTCATAGCTGTATTACTTTTTGTTTTATTTTATACATTTTGTTTTATATGTGATATTAGTCAGTAAGATGTTTGCGATCATACAGTTTTTTGCTCTCATCTTATTATATTAATTTTATTGATCACCTTTACAGTGACGGTAGATAAACCGTTATTTTACTGTCTTATGTGTAATCGGATCTGTTAAAAATATTATATCAATATATTGTTACAAATTTCATATTTAATAGTATCGCTTGAGAACTGTTAATTGAGAGCCGCCTATATGCAGAAACATCGCAATAAAGTTTGCAATATGTCGATCGTATGCAAGATAATGTATTAAACAGTGATTTATCTAGTCGCCGTAACCGGGTGATTCTGACACGACTTACGCCCAGTAGCTAAAACCTGATTGTTAATCAATACTCAAAGTATGTGTTTGTTTTATTGACTAGTTTTTATATAGTAATCACTTCATAAATGTAACTCGTTTACGTAACATTCTAAAATGTAGCGCGAGGTTCCTAATATAATTGATCGGATTTATTGTGGAGCTGCAAGGCCGGGTCATTGAGCAGGATGTTGAATAGTACTTCTAAGTAATAATGTAACAGATAGTATAAATTCCCTTGAACATTTTCAAGTTCATTAATTTTTGTTAATAAATATGTTTTCCTCCAACGAGCTTTTATTCCTGTGTCGAAAACGCAAAGATAAAAATTGTTATTGTAATCTATGGAGTAGACTACTGATTTAAATAATGATTTGTGATTAGCTAAAATGATAACATTTGTGAGTATATATGTTGTTGTAAATGATGATTTAAATAATCTCTTTATAAAAGTCATTCCTAAATTTTCTGTTAATTTTTACCAGTTTTATACAGTGGACATCTCTGTAATGGTAAATATTTGTGGTATTTATAAAAATATAAATATTATTTAACGAACTAACAGTATTGATTGTGAAGTTATCAATTAATATTGCAGTATATATTTATTTACAAGATTAAGTAAACTTCAGAATGTGTTTGGTATTTATTAAGTAAACTAATTAATATTAGGCCATATTTACTAGTTACTTTTGTCACATATACACACACCTCTGTTGATATATAAAAATATAAGAAATACAAGCAAATAGTCAATATCACAATGTATATGTTATGCAACTGCGATCCTTACATAGGTTGCAAATTAACTCGCTGCAATTTACATCCAAATTGGTTCCGTAATATTGCCACGAAAACGTACTAAATGGACAGATACTATTTCCATTTATAATATTACTCCGTAAGGAGTTGTACAGCTAATTGATCAGTTTAGAAATCATAATGTATATTCAGTGTCATTATGGAAATATGTTTATATGGTAAATTGTAAATGATGATTGTACTGCACAGACGCGATACATTCAGACCTAAATCCTATCACAGTTATCTAGTTATCAAATCTATCACACTAATTTTCTAATCTCCCATATTATTATTAATATACTGTATATATTAATATACAAATATAATTTATAGATTTAATCAAATTGAATTAATATAGTAATATATAGAATAAAAAAAATTAACTGATCAATTAACAATACTGCTCATACTCATGCAAAACAATATACTTACAGAAATAGATTTTTTACCTGCTAATTAATATTGAATAATATACAGAAGCGAATTTCACGTATTGCGTTATGTTATTTTTTTATTTTGAAAACCTTTTAAAATATTTAAATCCAAAGTTCGTTGAGGTCTTTTTTATTAAACTGTTTCAATAAGCAAAAAACTTTGTTTTTTCAAAAATATAAGAATATTTGCATCTCGTGTATATATATCGTGCATTGTATGTAATTTATTTTGCCAAGATATACTATTAGAACTATAAATAATATTGAATTGCAACATAAATTTTAGTGTTTGTTATTATGGATAAATGTATCTGTGTATGTATTAAACTACCTATATCTATGTACATAATATTTTCATATTAGTCTATTTTCATTTGGCTGTAGCACAAAGTAATTTGTAGATGTTACATATTACATATATGGAGACATACTATCATACGAAATAGACAGCTCTTATTATAAGAATAGTAAGCATATAACTACTAAGTAATTACTTATTTATTTATTTGGGAGGATTATTTATTATATTAGTTACTTTGGAAACTTATTCATTAATACTATATATCTATCTTTTCGAGACTTTACGACTTCGTTTTTAGGAAGAAGGTTTCTGAACAGCTTTTAGTAATAAAAGTAAATTAATTAAAAAAATTATCTATATTTTCCA